AAATAAACATTGTAATTAGTAAACAAACAAATAAACATTACAATTTATTGACTAATTAATCAACTGTTGTTACACTACAGAAAAATTTGGTGACAAAAAAAAAAGAGAGGAAAGATATGGAAAATACTATCTATAGCCAAAAAGGCTTTGACTAGGCTCATTCTTATGATATAAAATTATTTCTCAATATTTTATGCTTAAAAATTTAATTACTTACGTAAGAATTAAATAATATTCCTTGTATTAGCGCCTTTTTCCTAATTAAAAGATCAAAACTCATTCTTGGCTCATTCTCATGATATAGAATTATTCCCTAATACTTTGAACATCTAATTACTAATGTGAAATTAAGCTATATTTCTTTTAATTAAATGAAGACCATCATAATGTGCATTTTTTCCAAGTAATAAATGTTGAAGCGAAATTAAGTTCACTAATTAACGTTTTCCAATTAATTATTCATAATATACCTCATCCACTCCGTTATCCAACCTATTAATATCATCATCTATCATAGAAGGAATGGAATATATCCATTTGTCGATTATTATGATTATAAATATTATCAAAGGATTGGAAATCAAAAAAAAAAGAAAAAAACTTCCTATAACCAAATTTAAAATTTCATTCCATACTACAACTCTTAACAGCAATATTTCGTTCCATCGTCTTTTTCTCCTTCTCAGTATATCATTTAAATGTTTTCATCATACTCTTTTTTTTCTTGCCATATCTCATAAATTGCTTTCCTTCCTTTTCAATTTCTCGCCCATTGATAATTTAGCCTATTGTCTTTTTTTTTTTCAAACAAATTGTAACGAAGGGGAACTTTTCCATTTATAAAATGCTACTTTTTTTTTTCAAGGTTTTAACTTCCTTTTAGGAAAAAAAAAACAAAACTAAAAAATTCATTCAAATAGCAGGAGAAGTGAAATATATGCGTAAAAAGACCATTTTGTAAAATATTTTATGGAAACAATAAAATGAAAGAAAAAAAATCGGCAAAAAAAAATGAAATAAAAACACAGAAAGAATGTAATCTACAAAGAAACATACACATATACACAATGAGTGATGAAATTAATTGTAATTAATATGTAATGAATTCGATTAATTGAGAGAAGAAAACAAAAAATAGTAATAATAACAAACTAGCCAAATAGTATATAAATACAACGTCAGAGTTTTCCTTTTTCATAATTAAAACAAACAAATCAATTAATCATATCATTGTACATTCATCTTTTGAAATTTGCCATATATTTGAAATAAAAATATAATAATAATGTTAATAAATAGTGCAAATGTTTGAAAATAACAAATTGGAAATAAAAAATATTTTTTAAAAATAAGCAAATCAAATTAAATGGAGTAAACAATGTATGACAATTTCCCTTTTCCTTTTCATTATTTTCTTTTTTGCATGCATGTAATATATGTAACAGGATTTAATAGGTAACGTAGTAAGAATTGAAATGATATCATTTATGTTCAAGAATTAATTAACGATTAACTCAATACAATAACAGTCTTTCTAAATTTTAATTTCTTCATACTATCTTATTCCTCCCTTTGTTATCACTTCTTTACATCATCTATAAGCTTAACATTGATGATCACTTGTCCCTTTTTCCTCTTCCAGAATGATCATTAATTGCATTATTGATCGCTGTAGATAAAATCAATGAAAAAACCTAATACAATAGTCTATTCATCTTGAGCGATTAATAATATTCGTTAAATCATAAATAGCTGCACTATCAAAGACTTAATAATTCAAAGATAGTTTGAAGAATTTTTTTGTTTAAAATAAATCAAATTAAATCAGAATTTTTTTTAATTTTATTTTCTTAATCAACAATAATCGAGATAAAGAAAGCTAGAATGAGAAAAAGAAATAAAAAGTGCGAAATAAAATGAATGGCATGAAATGGCGATGAAATTATTTCACTTCACCTAAATTAAACTTCGTTTCAAATTTTAACCTTCCCCTTTTTCTTTTAATACAGAGGATCAAAATTATTATGAGATTGCTCAAACAACAACAATAATAACAACCATTACTACCATTACTACTACTACTACTACTATTAATTACTACTACCTCTAATACTAATACTACTATTGCAGCAAACAGATTTTGATCGAAACTTTTCCCCAAGTAATGGATGGATAATGAATTATAACTGACTAATTTGTCAAATGCGCATTACTGGAATACAATAAATGAAATTGAAAAGATCTGAATCATTAATATTATTGGACCCGTTTCATTGGCTTGGGAAAAGTGGGCACAAACGTAACGTAACGAAACGAAGCAAAGCGAAATTTACACAGAATCGATGAAAGCACACAGTATCTCATTTCGTTATTTCAGCATATGAATACAACAAACATTGCGAAAAAAATAAGCATTACAAATGATCGATGATTTATTTCAAGAAATGGCAAAAGAAAAAAAAGGAATCAAACAGCAAATACTATTTCCAAACATTGTAGGTTTCTTCTTTGCATGTTACCCGATTGTTACCCGTTTTACAAGTTATATTGCTGATAGATTAAACCTATCTGAAATTTTTTATTACTGGAAGGCCAGTGATCGTAAATCGCAGATGGATGATTTATGCGCCACTTTTATCCAGAGTGACTTACATCCAGGTAATATACCGCTTATACCTCAGCCCAGAAAAACGGATTATATCACTGTCCTCTCCATCCTAAATCTGATATGAACTCGATCTGCTTTTCCATAGCTATCACACTTTCAACGAAAAATCAGTCAGCCTTTTCTCCTTAAGTCCCCTATTGGGCTACCTTCCCGACTGCATGATATCTTCCTCGCGCTTCTGTCGAGCCAGGTGTTCCAACGTATTGGAGTACGGATTCTTGCCACTGTATAATGCTTGCTGCAAATTAGCTGCAGCGGCTGCGTTCCCAAGTGACATCAGATTAGAATTGAAAAGACCAGCTGCCGCACCAAGACTTTGCGGTAATCCTGCTGCTGCCGTAGCCGGTCCAGGAATTCCACCTGGAGGTGTAGCACCAGTCAAAGTGTACGTTGATGGGAGACCACGCGAAGCATTGTAAAGTTGCTGTTGTTGTTGTTGATGCTGTTGACGTTGCATTTCAAGCAATGCTTCCAATGATGGTTGAGATTGTTGCTGACGCATTTGTGCAGCAAAAAGTTGTTGTCGCATGAGCTCAAGATTCGAAGTTGGTGTCATCGATGTATTGCTACCTATACCTGATGCATTGCTCAAAGCCACCATATAACGATCCATCATTTGCTGCTCCATTTGCATCCGGACCAAATCGAGAGATGACGGTGGAGGTGGTGGTGGTTGGGGCGCACCACTAACCGGAACATGTGCTCCTGTTGCAGCTGCAGCATTAGAACTCATTTGCGCAGCGGCGGCCGATTGTCGTAATGCTTCCAACTGAAACAAAACATTTTATTGCACTAGAAAATTGAGAAGAAAATTTTCTCTGAAAAAAATTTTAGAAAACTCGAAATCTTCCAGAAATGAAATAAACTGCAAAGAGTGAAAAACTCAAAATAACAAAGTGAAGTTTTTGATACACTCAAAAAATCTTCTAAGAAATTTTAGTACTTAATTCAAACTGAAAATACAAAATATTTCGATACTGTGTCTTAACCTACCGATTGCATCTGTTGCAATACAGCAGCCATATTGGGATCGAATAATCGCTGAGACGAATAAACGGATTGTGCCTGTGAAGTGACCGCTGAAAGTGGATGTGGTTGAGCAGATGCGGCTGCAGCAGATGATAACAGATACGGCGCGGAAGGAAGAGAACCGTTTGGAAGAGCTGTTGCTGCATTTTGTTGTGCATTTTGTAGTGCAGCAAACATAGCTGCTTGAGCGGCTGCTTCACTAGTACCATTGGTAAGAGAAGCGGTAGCACCTGGTAAATTCGGCGCCAGAGGTAACGATGAACCAAGAACACCGGGTAGGGCACTTGGAAGAGATCCTTGAAGCGAAGGCATAGTACCGCCGGCTGCAGCTGCTGCAGCCGCAGCTACCGCCATCGATGGTGCCATCAAGCTACCGGCACCACTACCGGTATTGCCACCACCAAGTTGTAGATGTAATGCAGAAGTTGTTGGACTACGATTTATTGTTGTCGTCGAACGACCTTGCGGCTGCTTCGGCGTTGAGCTGAAAATTCTGACAAATCTTTCGTCTTTGACTAAACAAATCGACTTATATCTAGAAAAAATAAATAAATGATTGAATTAAATCGTAATAGAAAAGTTAAATCGGAATGAGAACACTCGAAAACAACAAATTATAGACTAAAATTTATCAAAAATCTCAACTAAGTATAAAATGATGAAGAGGAAAGATTTCTCTAATTATATGGACAAATAATACAACCATAATGGCATATAGATTAAACGATAATGATCATCATGACAATTATCGTCATGTTATTAAGATATGATTCCAAGCTGAATGCATTATTTTAAGCTTATCTATTCATCAAAATTTATCTTAGTTCATCTATTCTTCAGACTATTGACTTGCCAATCAAACTGATAACAATATCGTATCAGCAACGAGACTTATTCCTATGGAAATGCAAACCATATGTACCTTTGACGAGCCAATTTACTAGGATCAGAGAGTTGCTGGAACGGTAGAGTAAATGGTGACGATAAAGCACCAGACTGAGCTAACGCAGGAAATGATGTTGGTAGTCCAGTACCCAAACTGAAACTAATTAAATGAAATGAAGTGATATTAAATATTAGATAATCTACTGAGGGATGCATCATATTTAAAATGTCACAAGTATCATAATTTAAATATTTGTTGAATAATTTAAAATTACATGGCTAATAAACTGGAGTTAAAGAAAATAGCAGAAATTACCAATTTTCAATCAATCCTTCATCATCTCAACTTTACTAATTTCCATTGCCAGAATCAGTATATATATATATATACATATAACCCACATATCAAGAATATGAAATTATGGAAGACTTCTCCTATTATTTCATCAATGCTTAAAATGAGAAACAGCCAGCAATTATAAAATGTGGCAAATGTCCTCAGTATCACAGTTGTAAATGTTTATTGAATAGTTTGCTGCAAAATTTAAAAGAAAAAAATTCCACGAAAAAATCCTTCATTTGTCATTTCATATTTTTCATTTCTTATTTTACCTCACCAATTAATAAACAAATATACGCATTTACTAAATTTATTTCATCCTTAATATTTTTAATAAATCCATTGGATGTATGCATCACTCAAGAAGATCAAAAATTAATTCTTTTTTGCAAATCTTACCTTCAACCATTTTGCAATAGCAGCAAGAAAAAAAAAGAGTTGAGGTGAATAATTTAATGATAGATTGTGAAGGAAATATGAAAAATTGCAGTAATGCTTGAGTAATTCAATGATTTAATGATAGATGGAAAGGTTTTTATTCACTAACATTGAAGTCATTTATAAATCAAATAAATTCTAATGAAATTTTTATAAAAAATTCAATTTACATTCCCTCAACGAATTCAATTTATATTCCCTCATGGAAAATTTTTTTTTTACCATATCTGACTAATCTAGACAGCTATTTTTCCACTTACCGTATCCAATTCCTAGACCGATGAAATTGTGTCTATTATCTGCTTTCATACCAAACAAAAAAAAAAAAAAAAAAGAAAAAAAAAAATCTACTAGCGTTCAAGTTCCAATTATGATGAGCTTTCGGTTGATTCGGTTGATTCATTTCTTCCCATTCTGTACAATTATCCCAACTTCTAACTATAGTTAAACTAAAACTCCCTTGATAATTCCAAAAGTAATTCTACGTTCAACCAGCTTCTACAAGTTGGAACCTAATTTTAATTCTTCTTCAGTTGTTTCAACTTTATCCGTGAACTCGTCGTTTTCTGCTTTCTTTCCCTCTCGCGACAGTCTTATTTTTTTTCCAGTTTTTTGTCTTGTTCTTATTAACAAAACAGCGATGAATAAACAAATTTAGGAAAATTAACTTCCTAATTTACTTTTGCTGAACACTCAGAAAAACAAACCAACGACCACAAATTTTTATAATATTGCTGACCAATAGAAATTTTTTAAATAATTCCTGGAACTCATTCCTTAATCAATGATTTCAAATCAAGAAGGTTGAAAAATTTAAGCTTCAGACTAATTCAAAATCCGACTACAAAGATGAAAATATTTCAGTTCTAATTAGACAACAATTTCCATCTGCCATAGCTTGAAATAAATTTAGGAAGTAGAATTCAAAGATCAGTTAATTGATATTTGAAATTGTATTCCCATGTAGTTTAAATATTTGCAAGAAAAGGTACCTGCATCATGACGCACTTATCCGATTAATGACAACATTACTCACTAAAATTTAAAATTCCAAAAAGTAATTACTCACCTTGCTATATTAGCATTTGAAGTAGAAGGTGGACAAAATGGAGCCGTTACACCACCACCTGTTCTTATCGTAGGTGCATTACTACTGTTTTGTGATGATGGTGCTACTGAAGATGACGATGAACTTTGCGATACAGCTGCAGTTGCAGCTGCAACAACTGATGGTTGTGGTGTTGAACGGCGCTCTTTCTTCGATAATATTTCATATGCTATTTTAATATGCATCGCACACCATCGTCCTTGTTTAGTCTACAATTAAAATTCAAAACATGACAAATTCGATTATAATTTATGTTGAAAATATATTGAATCACATACGGAAAATGAAAACGAATAAATTTTGCAGAATTCCTGATTCGTGCTATCATTTTCAACATTCCTTTCGCATTTTAATTCAGAAAAACTTCTTGTTTTTCACATTTTATTTAATTCGTCCTGTCTTGATCAAGAATTTTAAAAGTTTTCAAAAATCTAAAAAAATATGTTAAAAATTATAGCAGCTCTCTCTCCCTCCCTTTCAGTATGAACAAAACGAAATCACATGTATATATATGTACATACAATCTTACCCTCTAATGAGAGTAATATTTTTGTGGTACCATAGTTCAATTAAAAAAGAATGAAGTTGCACTCGAAAATTTGATGATCCGACTTATCAGACTATCAGCATTTTCCGATAAATTATTTCTGTGTGAAATGAAATGTATATCAATATACATTTTCTTCATTAGACAGAGAAATATGTTATAAGTAAAATAAGTTAGAAATTTATATTGGCTGAAATAGATGTCACTTTAAAATGACAGAGGAAAAGGAAATGTTTTTGAAAAGTAAGTGCATCACTACTTACTCCTTTCTTAATTAAAATCTCAAGTCACTTTACCAATATCCGACTAAAATTTCAAAAGGTAAAACAACGAATATTTATACGGATCATGCCAGAGAAACAGCAAATACTTCAAAGTACTAAAGTTAAAGAAAGTAAAGAACGCCTACTTTTATAGGTAATGGTTGAGTACCAGCCGTTGGCAAAGTTCGCCCTAACAGTGCAGCATTGGCAAGTTGTGAACCAAGCGCAGTACCAGGTGGAAATTGGATACAACTCATTGATGATGCACATGAGGTTGACGGTTGCACTGCTGCCGAAAGAGTTGTTGGAGGTACCGTGCCTTGAGCAAGTGACATGGACTGAAATTAATCAAAAATGTTTATATAAATAAATAAAGGAATAAATATATAAATTGATGAATAAATCATTTTGTTCATCAAAAACCATTCGAAAAAGATGAAAATTCAGATCTGTTATCAATATGAATAAAAAAAGAAAAACAAATGCCCTTTTAGTCACATAACGAATGAATGAAATCTCATCATCAAGACAGAGAAAAAATAATTGCGAAAATGACAGTCACAGCTAGACAAATAATAGCAGAGATAGGGATCGGATCGGATCCTCGACTGGGACAAAATTCATTTTGATGATGAAAATGAGAAAAAAAAGCTGTATGATATCAGCTGTCAAGCGGTTGCTCACTTTCATTGCTAACTTAAATGGAGTGAACAGGTGTCACTGAGATGCTTTGCATATTTGGCATTAAAAAAAACGATGGAAAAACAAAATTTTGAAATTAGAAGTATTTGATTAACCTGTTGTGTTTGTTGTTGCTGTAGAATTTGTGCAGCAAGAAATGGAAATGCAGCTGCAGCTGCAGCATTTGGTGGTGCACCAGGGAAAAATAAATTACCAAAATCGGCACCACCAATGGTAGCTCCATTACCACCACCAGCAGCAGCAGCCGCAGCAGCATTTAATGCAGCAAGATTGGTGCCACCAAAAAATGCTTGTCGAAATGGATCAAGTAAAGATGCAGTGGGAGGTGGTGGCGGTGCTGATGGCGGACCGGTTGCTCCACGATTATCCGTGTTGGTGGTACCAGCAGTGGCACTTGCAACAGCTGATGATAGCTCATTCCGTCCGGCTGGGGCAAGAACACCAATCGAGAGTCCAGGTGGTTCAGCACTTAACGAATTCACGGACGACAAATTCGGTAGATTTATTGGTGGTGCAGCGGTGACACCCGTTTGTTGCTGTTGTTGACGACCTGCAACCACTGATGTTGACGGTACATCGTGTCCTGGATCCACTGGATGTGTTGCTGCAACACGGTATATCGTAACTCCCTTGGGCAAAATACCCATTTTTTTTTCTACCTGACCCCGCTTTTTTTCCATTTGATCTCCAGTTATCTGCTACAATTAAGATATCGACGTACTTCGATGCTTCAATAGAAAATTCCGGGAAATGTGATAAAAAAGCGATGTATGTTATTTATCCTAATATTTGCATACCAAATCGAAAAAAAAAGATTTCCTCGTCTGATGTTAATTATCTCGATTAAAATAAAAAAAAAGAAAGATTTGATGACACTAAGCAATCTCGACATTATCTGTGCGACATTAAGCTACTTAGGTGATATCAAATCACTTCTTTCCGCATGTTTGCATTAACCATATCACTGAATGATTAAGAAAACTAAACGAAATATTCCGGAAAAGTACCAAAAACTTTTGGAATTGTGATAAGTAACAAGCCTTACTTTCAACAGAAGCTGATGATACAGGATCACGCGCATCAACTGTACGTGGTAACTGTCCATTCCATGCCGTCTGTCCAAGATTATCACCAGCATTTGACATATCAACTTTCGTCACTATAGTGTTTACACGTGTTACACCAGTTGTACCACTACGTGGCGGTGATCCACTCATAATTGCTGATATATCTGTCTTTGTTGCTATACCAATTATACCATTTCTAAAAAGAGTTTAATTAAAAAAAAATTTCACGATGCGATCCCAGAAAATAGGAAAAGCATATATGAGATAGAGGGAAGTGTAAATATACATGCATGTATAATGTCAATTTAAATTCCAGTATTTCCTATCATTAATTCAAGTTTCACCCAATAATTTTCTTTTATCGCTAATTACAATTCCAGTGTGATTGTCTGATTCATTTACTGCTGATTACAAAAGTATCTGATAATTTCATTTTCAATCATTCCTCTTGTTCCTTATTATTAATAGAAAATAGCGCTCAATTTACATTTTTTTTCAATTATTAAATGTATCACAATAGCATTTATAATTATACATTCTAATGCTAATAAAGAATAAATTTTAAACTCTCTTTACTCGCGGATAATTTTTCATCATCCTCACAATTTTTTGATCGATGATTCAAAGTACGAACATCAATCAATCTTCTTTCCTACTATTTTTTTCATCTCCACTAACCTATTTTTCGTTTATTTTCAAGAAAATAAATCTTAATTAGCATCACTGAACAATGCTGTAACATACATACATTACATATCATTCATAGGCATACTTTTTTTCCTGAAGAAAAAAAAAAGGAATCTATTTTTAAACTGATGCTTCGACAGAGAGGATTTTATTTATAAATGAATTTACTATCATTCTATCATCAAAAGTTTAACAACCAAATGACACCAAACATTACACTAAAAAGTTTGTTTGTGAGACTGATGAAAGAAGAAAGAACACCAACCAACTTTAATTGTAAATGGAAATAGAGAATCGGCAAAGGAAAAAGAATGCGCTCATAGAATTTTTTCTCAAATACTTTATAAAATTAAAATTTGTGTAATTTTTTCCATGTATGGTCAATACAAGACGAAGAGTGTATGCTAAAATTCTTTAATTAATTCCTAAAAAGCCAGTATATGAGATTATTTTTCAGAAGCAGTAAAAAGAATTAATGATTAGCTCTTTTTCCTATGCTTCAAAAAATTAATGTCATCTAACGACGAAACAAACTTGGGAAGAGAAAAATCAAATTAAAAATTGGCTATTTTCCCTTTTTCAAATTAAAAACTTCTTTTCTTTTGCTTGTGGAAACTTGATTTTTAACTCGCAACTTCTTCAGATTAATTTGACAACTGTTTATCAAAAATTTGATGTACTTCATATACATATACATAAACAGATGGATTATATTTCGGCATTTTTATAATAGATATTCTGGAAAGCACATAAAATTTGGCTTATGCAAATTTTCCCTTTCAAATATTTTCATATGACTTTTAACAATTAATTTCACAACAGTAAACCGAATAAAATTGGTGTATCGTAAAATTTTTTGATATGTTAAAAAGCTTGTTCAGAATGACAAACATTAGTTAAAATAAAAATTAAAATGAAACAAATTCAGCGTGAAATTAACGTGGAAGAGAGAAAAAACAAAAAAAACTAACTTATGATCTTCTTGATGTTTCGATTCCAATTTCACCCGTTTCTCATATCCAACACTATCGATAAGTAGATCAGATGATCGTTTAAGCATATTACTTAATGCATTATTTTGATTACCAATAGTTGCAACATTTGCAGAACACACCGAAATACCAGTATCATTCATCCAGGTTATTGTTGTTCGATCGTTTCCGTCGATCTGTATTGTTGTCGTTGTTGTTGTTGTTGCTGCTGTTTCACTTGGAATAGTCTCAATTCGTCCTAATGATCGTGAATAACGCTGGAAACAAAGAAAAAAAATTACTTATTAAAACAACAAATAACTAAAAATTAATCAAACAAAACCATTACTTCATTCCCTTTTTAAGCCCATGCATTTAATCATATCATAACATATCATCCACCACTTCCTCATATAATATACATATCATTTTAAACAGTTCACATTACATTTTTGCTCGATCACACACATACGCAAACATTCAAAAAAGAAAAAAACAAATATTGATAGTGTATCAATGGATTGATCAAAGATTAGAATGAAAAGAATTGTAAATATTTCCAAAATGGACGTTTGAAACCATCTCTTTTAACTAAATGTCAAATTGCAGCAGAAATTTAACTATCAACAATACTACTACTACTACTACTCCTACTTCTAACTACTATTACCATCATTTCACCATACACACACACACACACATACATGTATATATATATATATATATACACACATACACACACATACACGCACACATACATACCCATACACAACATTTCCTGCTCTTTCAAACTCCCATTCTCATAATCACGACCACCAAACTCTCTCCCCCGCCTTCCACATTTATCGAAATACGAAAAAGTTTAATATCAGTAGAAGACAATGAAATTAGTGTGATTACAATATGAGAAAAAGATAGAGAGAGAGAGAGAGAGAGAGAGAGAGAGAAAGGACAAGGCTAATTTTTCATTGCTTTGACAATAGCGCATTATAAATGACGACAACCATTTAATCATCCATCAAACATTACAATATAACAATTTTTTAAATTATCATTTCAATCAAATATTGCGACAAAAACGAAAAAAAAAACGAAAAAAAAGAAAAACTAATGGAAAGGAAGAAAGAGAGAAGGAAAAAAGGTAAAAACGGAAAAAGAAAAGATAAAAATAGAGGGAAAAAAAAGTAAAAATAAATGGTAAGAGAGGAAGGAATGAAAGATGACAAAGATCGCAGGAGTATATTATCAGTAATGAATGACTAAAAAGATAAGTGTGTATTATCAGTGCTATGAAATAAACTTCCAAATATTAGCAATTTATTATGAGAATTGAAAAAAAAACTAAAAAGTTTTGCAATGAAAGGAAAAAAATTTGATACGAATTATTTGATATTGTTGCTACTGAATAGAATAGAAATACGAAGAATAATGAAGGAATGTTTTGTTAAAATTTGTTAATTTTGTAAATGATTTAGGATTAGTTGCAGGAATTGTGTAAATGATTTAGCATTAATTGTAAAAATTGTGTAAATGATCTAGCATTAATTGTAGGAATTGTATAAATTATATTATAATGTTTCATTTCCAACACTTTATTTGAAATTACTCGTCGACAATAAGTTGTTAAATTAATTATGAAAATAAATGAAAAATTGCGTAAATTGACAATGTAATTATATGGAAGAGAGGAAAGAAGAACAAACTGGATTAATGAATAATTTATTATTTACAAGGGAATAAGAATGTCGTCAACTGACTGGCAATTGATGTAAAATGAGATAAAAAAAAAGAACAAATGAAATAATATGAGTAATTCAGTCATAAATGAAAAAATAAATTAATTGATTGTCATAAATCGGCAAATTATTCATGGAAAAAGAGGTGAAAAAGGAATAAAATAAGGTGCTGAGTGACGTGTTTACAAATGAATAAATGAATAGATTAATTAATTAAATTTCGATATAATGAACAAACCAGTAGGAAATGAGCAACTATGATGATCAACAATAACTGATGAATGAATTAAGCAAATAAGATGGACATGATGAAACAGGTGAGTGAACGTTTTGAAAAGGTTGAAATTACCTTTGATCATTTAAACATATGAGAAGTTCCGCGATAAAATTAATGATGATTACGAAAGAAATGGATGAAAGATTGCGGGAGGAAAAGAGCAGAGAGACATGAAAGTGGAAAATTCAGCACCAATATTTTTAAACAATCACCATATCGGCGAGTAATGTCCTTCCACACAGCAAACGGGTTTGATGTATAATAATATCTTACAGAGAGGAGAAGAGGAGAGAGAGAGGAGAGAGAGGGAATAAAAGGAAAGAAATGAGTAAATGTAACCTTATTGGGAGGTGAAATGTGAAAAATGACAAAAACAAATGGATAATAAAGGTAGGGAGAGAATAGTAGTCATTAGGTAAAATGATGTTGTTAAAACTAATATCTTTCCTTCTTTTTCTTTTTTTTTCAATCTTTTATTGTTTGTAATCTCTTTTTTTTCTTTTTTGCCTTTGATGTGATTAAAGATGATGAAATTTGATAAAAACTCGAAAAAAAAAAACTCGAAAATTGAATTTCTTTTCTTTAAGACAGCTAGCGGGAAAAAAAGATTAAATAAGCTTAGTTTTTCAAAAGAGATTAGATGTTTTTAGAAAAAAATTGAAAAGAAAGAAATTTTAAATTATTATCAAATTTCTGCATTTTTTACCAAGTATTGGAATATATGCAAATATTGGAAAAGAATAATTCCTTAATAAGATACATGAATCATATGAAAACATTTAACAAGATATATGAATCATATGAAAACACTTTGATAAAGTATGTAAAAGATGAAAAAATTTAAAAATATGTAAACCAAAAAAAATTTGAAAATTGGAAATGCATACAACGAAAAAAAGATAAAGGAACCTTGGGAATATGTGCACGAAGAAAAACAACCAATAATGGCATAAGTATCAAAATAATTGTGACACAAATTTTGATCATCTGGAATATTCCATCAGCAATTGAATAGAAATTAAGTGGAAACAATTAAATAGAATGATTAAATAAAAGAAAGGTGTAAATTAAGTAGAAAATTT